GAGGTTTTCTATAATTAAAAAAAAAGTTTTAGAAAAATTCATAAACATTATTATAAATAATAGTTCGAAATCAAAAGTAATCTAATGAATAACTTGAGATTATTGTTATGTTTATTTAACTCTTGGTAACAAGAATATAATATTTTCTAAATTAATAACAAAAATCTTATTGTCTATGAACCCTCAATAACGAGAATATAATGCTCTTTAAGTTAATAGACAAAACGCCCAATAGTATTCAGACCCTCTGTGAACTAGAATATAATGTTTTTGAATTAATAAATGAAGCATCTAATAGCTCATTGATCTCTGGTGAACTAGAATATAATGTTCGATTGCCTTCAGACTCTTGGTAAGCTAGAATATAATATTTCTTGGGTTAATAGACGAATCACCTAATGGCCTATGGACCCCGGTGAACTAGAATATAATATTCAATTGAGTTAATGGATGAAGCATCCAATGATCTTCAGACTCTTGGTGAGCTAGAATATAATGTTCATTGGACTACACCAGGGCATAGGATCGATTTTACTGTTATATGATAGTCAGAAAACAAATATTAAGATAAAAACTTGGGTTAGAGCTTAGATTAAGATTAGGTTAAAGTTAGGAAAAATAATAATATAGCAACATTGTACAAGGAAATTTTTTTGTTAGGACCCCAAAGATGGTTTACTAGACTAAATTTTGAGATAAATGCGACTTTTGCAAAGCGAACGTTTGTTTTGAAATTTTTCACGTTATACTTGATCCTGATCTTTGATTGGTTGATAGATGTCAGAAAATTATGTGACAGTAAAATCAATTCTATGCCCTGGCGTAGTCTGTTTCTTGGGTTAATAGATGAAACATCTAATAGCCCATAAACCCCCGGTGAACTAGAATATAATGCTCATTGAGTTAATAAAAAAAGCATCCAATAGTCTTCAGACTTCCAGTGAACTAGAATATAATGTTCTTGGGTTATTAGACGAAGTATCTAATGGCCCATAGGCCCTGACGAACTATAATTTACCTTGAAAGACTAGAATTAACATTTTTAAATTAATGAACAAAGTATTCAAATCTTCGCTGAACTAAAATATAATGTTTTTTAATAAAGCAAAACTTATCTGTTTTATAAGTGCTGTAAGAGAAAGAGATATTTTGTAGTGGTATAAATAATGCGCTGCCTTAAAATAGCCAGAAAAATATCTCTGCTACGTGATAACAATAATATTCTTTATGTTTTGATAAGTTTCTATATTTAGGTGTTGGTGGTGTTGGTAAATACTGCTCGAATGACAATCATTTGTTTTGAATTTTCTGATTGTGCCACATTATACAAATTCATACTGGAGTAAAAAATCACGTGTTTTGTCCAATCATACCTCAGAATCAGGTGAAACACAAAATTACAACAACAAAAAACTTCAGAGTAAGTGATCTTCAAACCCTCGAACTAGAATTATGATCATTAATAAACAAAGTATTTAATAGCCTCAACCTTTGGCAAACTATTATATACTGTTTCTTGAGTTAATGAACAAAACGTGTCTATATTTTTTTGCTACAAAACAAGATATATTCATCACCAAAAGAATTTGTTTTTGAAATTACTCAATATTCTTATTTTCGGTCTGCATAATTACTCTTCAGATAAAATTATTGAACAATAAAATTTCTTAAAGCAGAAAGACTTATTTGTATGCTGCTTAAATATTAATGCAGAATATCATAAAACATTTTTACTTGCCAATCATTCATATTTCATGTAACTGCACGTGAGTGTGCTATGCTAGAAATAGAAATTTAATAAAATTTTTTTATTGCCTATTTTGGGGGTCATCTAAAGTGGGAACTACCCCTGGTACATACTTATACTTATTTTTGCAAGTGATACAAATCCAAAAAAGGAAATTTGTATATGTAGATCACAAGATCTGGTGCAATCTTTGTGTAATGTAAAATCAAAGGCATTTTTAAACATCACTAGTAACTCAAAATTTTGTCTAAGAAATCTCCTTTTATATTCAAATAGAAAAATTCCTAGCCAAATTTTACTATACGACATTCCTTTGAGTAATTTTACTATACCCCATCACTTATTAAATGCTAACTCTAACATAAAGTTTTTTTTTAGTAATCACATGACTGTGAAATTTTGTTGGTGTATCTGAGTAAGTGGAAAGTCTACAGATGCAAAAGTTTCAAAGTTGATATGCCTGTGGTTACATTGCTAATAGATCGACAATACACCCAAATCAGGTTAAGTTCTTGATACATTTCTGTACTATGCATTATAGCTGGTATAACAAATAATATAAGGTAGCTGCGTGATGCTATCACACAAAACCAGAAATATAAATTATGAGTGTGCCAGAATTGTTTATCAGTATAGGCAGCTTTTCCAGACTGATCATAATAACTGATAAAAAATAGCAGATTAAATTTATAAGATACTGGTATGTTAAATAGTATTTGGTGTCACTATCTTTTTAGCAATTAAAAATAAAAATTGATACTGAAGATTTTGAAATAACTCTTAAGGGCAAAATTAGTAAATTTGGCCAAACTAAGCTTAATTCAAGCCAAAATTCAAATAATGTCTATTTCTGCTATTTTTGCACTATCCAAATTAAATTAAAGTAATAAGTATAGTGTGATAGCAAATATAGCATAATAAATAACAAATATAAGTACTGTATTATATGTTAAATTTCATGAATCTACTCGATATTTGAAATCATTAACCTATTGTTAAAATTCTAAACAAACCTATTTTCGAAATCACAAACCATCAATTGTTAACAATTCATCCATCACTAAAACTGTGAACATACAGTATGTGTTACACTGTTTAAATTATGAGTTCACACTGTTGAAATTATCAACACCTACTATTAAAATCATGAACTAGCCACTATGAATTGCGAACATTTACTGTTGAGATCATTAGTCTGACCACAATTCGAATAGTACTCTGCAAAATCAAATTTTAAATCAAATATTTGATCAAATTTTTAAAAAATTTAATCAAATATTTGATTCAAATTCAAATTTTGATTTGATTTTGTGAAGTACTAACTGGTCTTATCAGAGACCAGAGCAGATTGAACCATGGAGATTCTAACAGTCCTGCAAGTCCAGTCCCAGTTCACTTTAATAGTTCAAAATCTTAAAGAATTAACTGGTTCGGGCTAGTCCTAGCCGGTTTGGTCTTAAAACTAAAAGCAGTTCAGACCAGGTTTAAAGCTAACTGTGGTTTACAGTTTAGAACAGACTACAGTATAACATCTCTGTTGAACTGAGTCATCTATCTCTAGATGGGTTTACATCAAATCGATTGTCAATAGTAGTAAAGCATAATGATAACCTGTATATTTTAAATTTTTTAGAAGTGATCGAGGATGTACAGCATAAGCTTGATTTAAATTAATTACTGAAAAAAGTTAATATTAACATTAACATTAATATTAATGTAAAACTTAATAGCAATAGAATCTTGTACGTACGTACATAATATAAATGTAATTTTCTCAATTGTATTTAAAATATTCTGATTTCTCAGATCAACAACCTTTAAGTCTATTTAGAGTAATACATATGTACCAGATTAATACAAGTTAAAAACTTGTAGATCTTTACAAAATAATTTTATATAACAAGATCATGCTGTCCATATACTTCGTATTTCGTACTATGTTCCTGGTATATTAAGATAAATATTTAAGCTATATAATTCTTGTTGCAACTAGTAAGAACAAAAGCCAACAAATATAGATGTATCACAAAATCACATAAAGATGCAATCCAATTAGATACATGTATTCGGATACACCCTTTCACTTGCCATTAAACCATACTTTACGTACTTTGTACTCTATTTCTGGTATGTATGTCAGAGGTTAAATTAGACAAATACGGAAATGAGAAATACGAGAAAAAATTTATACATAATCAGAAATGTGTATGTGCATGAAAATAAATTAATTTTTAAACCGATCTTCATGCATTAATAGTAATTCAAAATTCCAAGACAAAAATTTAAGCATACAAAATGTCAATTTGTATATGCTATTGTCCACGAAGTAATTGTTTGCCAAAAAAAAAGGAAGTAGAAGAAAATAAAAGAAATTTTGTGATTATAGTAAGGATAACTTTATGAAATGCATAATTTTAATTTTAAAAAATAGTACAGAAGTATAATAAGAATTGGGAGAATAAATTAGTTATTATCCATAAAGCGGTCAATAGTCAAAAATTAAAATCTGATCTATAGTTGTTAGGCGAAACCTAGAGGTTTCGCCATGACGAAAGGCGAAATCTAGTTTTGACTTTCGCCAAAAAAAAATTAAAAAGACGAAATGGCGAAACTGGCAAAACTGGTGAAACCTGGCAAAATTGGCGAAACCTGGCAAAATTAATAAAAGGTGGTGAAACTAATAAAGTAAAAGTTAATTAAAGAAAGTTAATCCTTTTATATAATAATTAATCACTTTGTTTCTTCTTATCTGCTTTTAAATTGTTATATTAAAATTATATATATATCAAAAATTATACAATTAAAATTATATAATTAATATTTTGCATTATTATATTTGTTGAATATGTAGTGTTATTAGGTGAAACTTAAGATTTTTGCCACAGACGAAAGGCAAAACTTGTTTCGATTTTTGTCAAAAAAAAAATTAATGAAACTGAAAAAACTGGTAAAATTGCTGAAAGGTAGCGTAACTGAAAGAGGTAGCAAAACTGATTAAAGATGATAAAATTAATAAAAGAAGCAAGAATAGAAAAGTAATTAAAGAAAATTAAAATTCTTTTATGTGATTACCTATTTTTTTGGTGATTTAAACTGTCAGTAAAATAAACAAAGCCCAAATTATGTTTTGGGAATTTCTATTTTGACCCGGGTCAAAATGACCCTCAGCAAGATTTTAGGGTTAGTGTGAGCCAGAATTATGT